AAAGAGAGAGAGAGAGAGAGAGAGAGAGAGAGAGAGAGAGAGAGAGCGATCTAATTTGAAATTTGTTTCGTTTACTTACCCATTCTCTATATTCTTTCATTTTTCCTTATTTAGAAATTGAACAATTCAACAACAACAACAACAATGAAACAACGACAAATGATGATGATGACAATGATGATGAAAAAAACGAAAAAAACTACTAATAATGAGAAAAAAAATCCAAATACAAGACAAAAATTATTGAAAACAATCGTTTCTATACAGCAACAACAGCAAAAATTTGATGATAATCGAAATGGTAACCGAATTGATGATAATGATGATTTGTTAATGATGAATTCGAATCATCATCATCATCATCATTTGATTAGTCATCATCATCATCAACATTCAAATATGGTTTTTTTGGAACAAAAAAATCTATTAATAAAACAAGAATATAATAGTAATTGTTTTATATATCATAATAATGATAATGGTGTTAATAATTATTATAATAATCAGGTAAATTAATTTTTGTAGTTAAAAAAAACAAAGTTTTATCAATAAAAAAATACCTTTTTTTCGATTCATAGCAATCCAGCTTAAATAATCAAAAATCATTACAACAAACCATGGATAATAATAATATGGATGACAATGGATTACATAATCATCATCACTATGATGATAATGGTGAACAATTTAGAAATTTATTACAAAATTTACAACCACCGCCAACAATAACGCAATCTTCATCGATGGAAATTATAAAATCACCACCATCAAAGCCTGAAACAACAACAACAACAACAGCAACATTAAATAACATTGTCGGTAAGTTGATAACGAAAATTGATTTTAATCTTTTTGGCTGAATGTTTTTCTTTTTCCATTATTTCGAAGAAAATTTCGAACATTATTATTATCAACAACCGGAACAACAACAACAACAACATTGTATAGAGAATTATTACTCATATTTTCCAACGACTACATCAACATCAATGAATCAATTGGATCAATATAGTGATGATGATTATACTCATCATTATCATCAACATTATCCGCAACAACAACAACAACAACAATTAGATCCGGTAATATTTAATGATAATTATCGTTTACAATCAAACGATGAATATATGACAAATGTTGTTGATGATAATCACCATCAACAACAACAGCAACAATATCAACCATCATTTGATAATCAACAGCAACCCGAATCATATAATGATGCTACCGATGATTATCGAATTCAAAATTCGAACGTTAATCTGAATAATCAAGATTATTCATATTGGCCATCAATCGATGATAATAATCATCAACAACAACAACAACAACAACAACAACAACAACAAGATTTTACCATGATAACACCAACATATTATTCGACGATAATACCAAAAGATTATTATCATTATCATCATCATCATTATGATTATGATGATGACCATCAACAAAATCAAAATCAAGACCAACAACAACATCATCAACAAGAATTTTATAATTATAATACAATTAATAGCAATAATTATAATTATAATCATCATTCACATCCACATTATAATGATAATTATCAATGTTTATAATTTATTTAAAATGTAATGAAATGAAATGAATATAAAGACAAAAGACAAACTCTAAAAGAAAATCTAAATAAAAATTTACAAAAAAACCAAAAAAAAAAAATTATATATTCATGGAAAGAATATTTGTGCGCAAACAAACATTCAAACGTATTCGAATCAATTTGAGAAAATCTCCATTCAATTTAATCATTTTGTATGGTCCAAATTTGAAATTGTTGATGATGATGATGATGATGGTATTGTTGTTAATGATGACTGTGATGAAATATCTATCATTGAATTACTACCACCAATACCAACAACAGTATTGCTACTGCTACTGCTACTACTGGCAAATAATGATATAAAATTGGATAAAATATTTCGATTCGTTATTGTCGATGTCGATGATGATGATAATAATGATGATGTTGATGTTGGCATATTAATATTATTTGGATGTGAAATTAATGATGATGATGATAAACGATTCATTTGTGCTAATTGTTTGAATTTTTCTTGATTTGATGGAAATTTGGATATTGGTTGAATTTTAACACGAAAAAATTTTGTATTCACAGGTAATTTATAACGATTTTCTTCCTAAAATTCATTAGAAAAATATTAATTTAAAAAATTTAAAAAAGAAAAATTTTACCTTTTTTATCTGGCAATATTCTTTTTCAGTTACTTTGGCTATAATCCAATCATATTCATTTGTAATTGGATCTTTTAAAACAAAAGAAAAATAATGATAATCAAACAAAACAAAAAAAGACAAATACAAAAAGACAAACCTTTAGTTAAATCAAATTCTTTGAATGAATCTGAATGTATATAATGTAAATTCGATAATGATGTATATACGATAAAATTTTCATATTTTTTCTCATAATAAACTAGAACAGTATCGCCAATTTCACAACTAAAAATGGAAATTAGTTGATTGAAAATTAAACACAAAAAAAATTCAATTCCAAAAGAATAATTTTCTACCTGTTTGCAGTAACTTTATCATCAATATTTGGATCAATATTAACAACATTCAGATGTTGTGCTAATTTTGTTGTCAATTTTGGCTATTTATTTTAAAAAATGGCGGTAAATATTTTAAATTTCAAAAATTCAAAACAACTTACGCTATCTGGTGTCGTCGGTATCGATATAAATGAACGTGAATTTAATAGCTCAACATTACGATTAAATTCATTAAAATCTTTGGCCAATTCTTTTACGAAATTAATTTCATCATCAGATTTTTCATTTTTCATTTCAACATTGGTGTCGACCGAAGTAGAAATAGTCGTGGAAGAATTCTGACCAATTCGAGAATTCAAACGTGATAAAAATGATTCATATAATGACATTTTTTGCATTAAAAAATCTAAATTCATTTCAAATTCATTGTTTATTGATTTTTTCCGAACAATATTTTCCCGTAATGTTTGCTGTTTATCCATTTCCAAACGTAATGTTTGAACAGATTTTTCATGATCATTTCGTAATGTTTGTATTGTTTGTTCATATTCATTTCGTTGTTCAATCAACATTGATTTTAATTTTTGTATTTCTTTTTCCTGTGCTGATTGATCAACAATATCTAATTGTACTTTTTCTAAACTTGTTTCCGATGCTGTACGTTCAATCGATGTTGTTGATATTGCCAATTTAAAACGTTGCCGTAATGATTCTAATTCATTTTTATGATCAAATAATAATTGTTCACGAAGACGATCTTTTTCCACAGAAATATTTTGACGAATTGATTCAATATTTGTTTGATGTTTTTGTTCCAATGTTGATATTGTTTCTTGAATCGAACATAAATCTTCATTTAATCCAGTAAATAAATTTTCAATTTCTTTATGATAATTTTGATAATTTAAATTTAAATCCTTATATGATAGCTGAAAATGATTGAAAAGTTTCTTTTCATTTATAATTCCCGATTTAAATGTTTCAATTCTATTGAATTGTTCTTGAATTTGTTTCCAACATTCTTCATTTTTTATTCTTTCTTCTGATAATTTTTGTTCCAATGATTTTATCTGAGAATTTTTTAGTTTTATTTGATTTTCAAGATTTGCATTTTTATCGGTTAATTCAGTTATCGTTTGTTGTTGTTGTGAAGAACGTGTTTGTAGTTGATTCATTTCATTGATAATTTCATTCAAATATTCATTTAAATGATTAATTTCTTTGAAAAAATTCCTACCATATGATGATAATTGCTGTTTTAAATCCGTTGTTGTTGTTGAATTCAAACGATAAAATTCCATCAAATCATCACATAATAATCGAAATCTTTTCAATAAAATTTTTTGATTTTCATTTTTCGTTTCAATTGTTTCGCAATTCATACGAATATTTTCAATCATTTCCATTTTTTTTCGTAAATCTTTTTCCAGATTCATTGCATTCATTTCTAATCGATCAATATTATTCAATGATAATTCAGTCATTATACCGATATCCTGATGATCGATTGTTGATTCAGATTGTGATGATTTCTCATCAACAACATTGATCATTTCATCATTATTCAAATCAAAAGGCACATTAAAAGGCATAACCACCATCAATTCATCAGTAAACATTTCGGGTAATTTTTTTCGTAAATATTCCAAATCATCCACAGTAATATTAGGTAATAATTGATCAATACGTATTGGTTCATTGAAAAATTGTTCAGGTAAATCATTCATACCAGGGAAAAAACAACGTAAAAAATGATTATCAATTTTTTCAGTAAATTTTTGTCGTAATAATTGTTCTTGTTCGATTAGATTTTTAGCTTGTCGGGATATTTTTTCCGCCCAATCATAAAATATTTTCGTAAACATTTTCCGTCGTAAAACTTCTTGTATGGAATCCAAATAAATTTTTGGACTTTGATGTAAACGTTGTATAATTTCTAAATTTGTACGTAATTTTTGCAATTTAATTCCAATGACAACAACCATTTCATCAACATGTTTTAATTGTTCCTGTACATGTATTATCCAACGTAAACGTTGATTTAAATTTCTTGATAATTCAAATTTTGCATCACGAAATTTATGTTCTAAATCAATTAATTCTAAATGATTATTTAACATTGTTTGTAGTTGTTCAGAATGATTTTGACATAAATCTGGTAATATTGTTGGATCTTGTAGATCCGAAATTCGGGATTGATTTTGTTTAAAACCTTCCGTTAGGATACCTTGTTTTTCGAAATTTTTTTTAGCAGTACGTATAAATTGTTCTAATGCTGATAAACGTTGTGTAAGTCCTTTAATTTCTTTCATATCCATATTATTACATTCACCAAGAACATTACTAATATCTGTACGTAAATTTTCTAATTTTTCATCATTATAATCATTCAATTCTTCCATACAGAATAATTCATCCAAAATATTATGATTATCTTTTTGTTGTATCCAATCAAGTAATGATAATTGATAATTTGTTGAATGCGAAGAATCATCCATTGTTTTCATTGATATCAGCGAATTTAGTATTGGAATTTTTCCAAGTAATTCTTTATCCGTTTTGAAACTAAATTCAGCAAAAAAAAATCAAAAATTAAAACCGAATCAATCAATAAGCGAAAAACACTTACTTTTCCAACAATTTTAGATATGCCGATTTATTTCTAAGAATATCCTGATAAAGTAATTCAACTTTTCTTGATTTATTTTCAAATGATTGAACTAAATCTTCAAGATTTGCAACAACCGATGCCCAACTTTGTTGTTGTAAATGTTGATCATGTACTAATTGTTTACAACGATGATAAATTTGACTATCATTTTCATATAATTGTATTGCCATTTCATTTCTTGAAACAACTGTATTAAAATTTGGTTCCATTTGTAAACAAGATTGTACACGATCTTTCATATCATCATTATTATCATTATGTTGTTGTTGTTGATCAAATTGATCCATTAATAATTCATAATTTTTACAAAATAAAAATATTGGACTAGTATCAGTACCAGCAGATGAATATTGACAAACACGATCATCCGAATTTAAACTTTCACCACCACTAATTAATAATACCTGATTTATTATTGGTATTTTATATTGTTCATAAATTGCTCGTTTTAGATTATCAACACTGTAATTTGGTAAAGAAAATTTTATAAAATCGAAAAATATTTGAACAAAACTTACGTTTCAATAGCCAAATTCATATCGAATGTCATCATTTGACCATTGTTTACCCAGAATATGTACAACATTTTCGTTGAAAAACGAAATGAAAGAAAATTTCAAATTTCGACGACAAAAAGTTTATTTTATTTATTTTTGCTGCTCAGATGTTACGAAATCAAATGATTTTCAATCAAATCAATACAAAATCAAATCAAATTCATCATCATTTACATTTGGTTAGAGCAAAAAATAACCATGCATTTCAAAATCAAAATGTGAGAAATGAAATTTTTTGAGACGCATCAAAAAAATCATAAGAAAAAAAATGTATTGATGTTGTTGTTTTGCAATGAAGAAACTCGAATGAATTGTTGTTGTTGTTGTTGTTATCAGCTGATGTTTCTGCTGCTACTCCATTACGGTCATGCGCATTTTGTTGATTTTTTGTTAAGTTTGATTTTTTTTTGAGTTTGATTTCATTTTTTTAAAATTTTTTCCTTTTCCTTTTGTTTTTTATTTTCTTTTTTCATTAACAACATTTGATGATAATGATAAAGATCATCTGGACATTTACACATATCTTGTGGACAATTTGGATCCAATGCATTACAATTATCATTACACCAATGATACATACCGGATTGTTTTCGATATAAACCGGATGGTTTACAAACAGAAAAATATGGTTCATTTTCATTATCCATTCGTTCTAAATTATTCATATCCAATTCATTTGGATTTATAATTGGATAACAACCATTTTGTTTTGGTAATGGTTCCGATAGTTTAAATATTTCAAAAATTTTTGAATAAATAACAAAACGTTTAAATGCTTTTACTTTATATGGTCCATTACATTCCAGTGGGCCATTAATAGCCATTGTTGTATAACCGAAATATCCTTGTTTAATTTCAGGAATATTATGACAATATTTATCCCAATACCAGAAAGCAGAACCCCATGCACCTTCTTCAGTATCGGAAACCAAATCCGGATTATCAACCAAACGCATATCACCATATAAATCCAATGAACAATTTGCATAATTATCTAGCCATGTTAATTGTATATAACCACGACCATAATAATATTTATCTTGTTGTTCACGACCAGTACGATAATTATTTGTACATTTTGTTTTAACACAGGCAATTTCTTTTGTATGTTGAAGACCAACAGATTCCCAATAAACTTGTGCTAAAAACATTGCCAATTCATTTTTATCATCGATATTAAAATCTTTAGCCAAACGTATAACGGTTTCATATTTTTCCATACTTGGTTCTGGATATTGATTTAATATTAATGAATCTTTAAATTCTTTCCATGTTATTAATTCTGTTTTGTAAAAATCATTTTAAAAATTTCAATTTTACAAAATAAAAATCAAAAATATTCTTACCTTTAGTTTTCGTTTCAATGAAACAATTATTGTTGCTAAGAAAAATGATTGGTAGAATGAAAAATTTCAATAAAATCATCATCATCATCATTATTTGAAATATAGACCAAAATAAAATCGAAAAAACTCAATTCACGAATGACTTTCACAATCTACCAGTCAGCAATGTTGTGGTCCAGAAGATAAAGATCATTCTGAAATCTGGAAAAATTGAAAGAAGAAAGAAGAGAAAAATGATTCCAAGATTGTGGTTGTGAAAGTAAACCTGTTGTCCTGATTTCTTTCTTCTTTCATCATGGCTTCTCTCATCATCATTACCATCATCAAAATGATTTAATTTTTTTTCTTTCGAGAAAAAAAACCAAAAACGGGATTTAAAAAACAAGTTTTATTTTTTTTGGAAAAAAAATCATTTTGTTTTTCCTGCGGATGTTCGATTCGAACACAAACAAACAAACAAACAAATACGTTATATGTGAATGTTTCCATCACCATTTTACCATTAAAGGAAGACGCGCGCATTCGATCTGATTCGATTCGAACGAGTAAAATATTCTATGGACAATTCTACGGTTGTTATATAGAATTTGTTTTTGTTTTTTCCCAGAATTTCGTTTTTGCGTTTTAAGAAATTTTCATTTTGAATCAAATTTTTTTGGGGATTGATTTTCGATCAAAAATGCTTGCCGAATGGATTAAATCGTTGGATAAAAAGTAAGATGATTAGAATGGATGAAAATTTTATTTATGTTTAACATTTTTTTTGTTATTCCGGGATGGAATTTTAATGTAATTTGTTTTTTGGTTTTTTTTGTTGAGTAAATAGAACCAGTGAACGTACTGATGAAGATTTGGAAATAATTTATAAAAAATTAAAAACATTTAAATTATTTCGTCGTGTACATCCATCCGTCATTCAACAATTATGTTTTGTTGCCATTATTGAACATATTGAAAAAGGTGTTGTTCGTAAGTATTATTATTATTTTGTAAAAAAATCGATTTTTAATCATCTTAAAATTATCATTATTTTTTGTCTATAGTTTATAAACAAGGTGATGAAGCATTAAATTGGTATTCATTAATATATGGTTCATTAGATGTACAAATAACACATACTGGTAAACGTAAAGATATTGTTACTGTTTGTACACTTGGTTCGGGTACAGCATTCGGTGAATGTGTTCTGAATGATGGTCATCATTCAGCTAGTGTCATATCAAATGAACCATGTACATTATTACGTGTACCAAAACAATCATTTCAAGATATTTGGCAAAAAAGTTCACATTATATGGAAGAAATAATAACATCACCATTTTCATTGAATGAATTGAATAATAATGAACAACAATCAACGACAATAACAACAACATCAAATAAAACAATTAATCAATCGATAGGAGAAAAATCAACACAAGATCAGCCATCATCGAATCAATTGATAATGATGAATAAAGATGATCATCATTATCATTATCAACAGAATGATGAAACAAATGAACAGAATATTAAAGGAGAAGAAATACAAATGTCTGAAAATGAAATCAAATTAATGCATGCTGGTTGGATAATACGATTACGTATTCAACAAACAGCATCACATTTGATTCGTGATCGTAAACATCCATCAACAACCGAAATATTTGATAATTGTTTTATTGGTTCAGAATTAACTGATTGGATAATCAATGTAACAATGACATCAAGTCGTATAAAAGTACGTTCACGTAAACAAGCTGAATCAATTTATCAGGTTTTATTTGAAAATAAAATCATCTATACAGTATATCCATTGGAAGAATCAAATTCATTTACCGATCGTTATGTATTTTATCGTTTTTGTTTTGATGATTTAAATGATGAAAAATCACAAACATTAGTTAATTTGTTTCAACAAAATGTACCGATTGATGAAAATCGTATTGCTGATTATCTTTATGAAAATCTTACGTTTTTATTACAATTGGCACCTGAAGCAACATTACGACAAATATTACGTAAACCACCGGAAAATCGTACCGAAGATGATATTGATATTGTTTATGAAGAAATAATGAATATAAAAGCATTTTCACATTTATCAAATACAGTAAAAAAAGAATTATCGGCTGTAATTGCATTCGAATCGATTGAAAAAAAATCAACAACATTATTTAAACAAGGTGATCGTGGTACTTGTTGGTATATTATATTAAGAGGTAGTGTTAATGTTGTTATTGCAAGCAAAGGTATTGTTTGTACATTACATGAAGGTGATGATTTTGGTAAATTAGCATTAGTAAATGAAGCACCACGTGCAGCAACAATTATAACTAATGAATCGGATTGTCAATTTTTACGTGTTGATAAAGTACATTTTGATCGTATATTAAAAGATAATGAAGCATCAATTGTACGATTAAAAGAATGTGGTAAAGAAGTATTAATATTACAAAAAATGTCAATGAAACAACATTCAAAAAAGAATTCTGTTGTTGATAATACTAATACTACTGTAAATAATGAACCAACAAATTTTAAATATATGGTTATGGCTGGTACACCTGAAAAAGTTATCGATTATTTATTGGAAACAAGAATGAATAATAATAATTTTGAAGAACAATTTAATAAGGAAAGTTTATTTGAAGATTTTCTTCTTACATTTCCAATATTTATTACATGGAAACATATGACCAATTCATTATTAAGACATTATAAAATTGATGAAATGAATTTTCGTCAAATGGAAGATTATATTGTTGATAATAAAAAACGTGTTGCACGTTTTACATTACTTTGGTTTAAAATATCGGCTGATGCATTTTTAAATTGTAAAACTATTACAATTTTTCTTGATGAACTTATTGATCTAATGGAAAAAGATAATTTAAAACATGATAATCATTTTGAAACAGAATTAACATCATTAAAAAATATTAAAGAAACTAAAGAAAATTATAATTTAAATCTTGAAATGAGAGGTACTATTGTTTATAAAGCGGATAATTCAAATTCGGTTCGTCGTATGTCGAATATAAATGAAGCATTATTTGCAAAATCACCTGATGAAACGGATAAAATTTTCAAATTAACAGCAATCAAAGAATTTGATGAAATAATTTGTCGTTTATATTGTGCTGATCATACATATACAACATTGAAAACAACAATGGATACCCGTGCAGAAATTATTCGTAATCAAGCTGCTGAAAAATTAAATCTTGATAATTCAGTTGATTATACATTGGTTGAATTAAAATCGGATAATGGTAAGCAAATTGAAATTCAATTCCAATTTGATTATTTATTTTATTGATTTTTGTTTTTTCTGGTTTTTAGAACGATACATTTTCAATGAAACCGAATTAAATATTGCAACAACATTATCATTAAATGGCAGAATATTCATTTCACATAAAGATCATTTGGATGCATTAACAACATTACCCGAACAGGAAGGAACAACAATTGGTTCGATTTTTAAATTGGAATCATTTTCATCACAAGAAATTGCTTATTTTCTTACTAATCAAACATGGAAATTATTTTTTAATATTCATCCATATGAATTTATTTATTTGGTATTTGGTCGTCATAATTTTAATGATATAACAGCCAATCTTGATCTTTGTCGACGAAATTTTAATGAACTACAATATTGGGCTATAACAGAAGTTTTATTGGAAAAATCATTATCAAGACGGGTACAGATTTTGAAAAAATTGATTAAAATTGCTGGATAGTAAGTTAAATTGAATCCGATTATATTCATCAATTTGGAATTAATTTTTTTCATTTTGTTTTTTTCTCCCTTGAATTAGTTGTAAAGAATATAAAAATCTAAATTCATTTTTTGCCATCATTATTGGTTTGAGTAATGTTGCCATCAGTCGATTAACACAAACATGGGAAAAATTACATAATAAAGTTAAAAGAATTTTCACCCAATATGAATCATTAATTGATTCATCACGTAATTATCGTCGTTATCGATTATTATTATCGAAATTTGATCCACCACTTGTACCATTCGTACCGTTATTAATCAAAGATATGACAATTTTACATGAAGGAAACAAAACATTTGTCGATCAAGGATTAGTAAATTTTGAAAAAATGGTAAAGCAATTTTTAAATTCAATGCATTTTAATGATTTATGTTTGTCTTTTTTAGCATCTTTTAGCACAAACATTACGTATGATACAGGATTGTAAATCCGGATCATTTCAAATACAATCACCGGCAACATTATCGATGAAAAAAATGAATTTCCCAAATGTATTACAAGAATATTTTGATCAAATCAAAGTTATTGATAATCAAAAACGTTTAATGCAATTATCATATTGTCTTGAACATCGAAAACTTTGAAAAAGCCAAAAAACAAGCTGAATTCAACAACGCACATATCATTTTTCTTTGCACAGAAAATATTTTATTTCATCATCATCATTGTTATTATTGTTTCAATATTAGATCAAACTAAATTCACCATACAATGAAGAGAAAGATAATATTTTAATATCTTATCGAAAAATTCCTAAAATCACAATTATCAATAATTTTCCAATTTTTCATCAAACAGCAACGAATTTTTGAAAATGGACTTCCTTGTGTTTGCAACCAAATAACCCTATAGAAATTATTTATTTGAAAAAAGAAAAAGAATTTATGTTTGAAAAAAAGATCTCCTAATCACTATCCAAATCAATTTTATTGCATAACATACATTTCATCAACTTTATCTTTTTCACCTTGTATTTGTCCATAAACCGTACCACGTTGATTAACACGAATCCATCCTTTAACATCCAATGTTTCGGCTATATTTTTAGCATATTTAGTAAAATATACTCCTATATATAATGATGATAATCCAATGAAAAAGTAAACGAATCCAATCAATCAGTAAAATCAGTTTTTTTTGAAAAATAAATAAAACTAACCTGAAACATCACCAGCAACTTCAAAATCAACCTGTACAATCATTGGACGATATGGATTTACATCCGATACATATGATTTACGTACATCATCATATGATGTTTTTATTGTTGAATATTGATGCATTCCGGTAATCATTTTTTGTTTTGCTTCAAATTTGCTTTTTTTCCAAAATGTGAGAAAATTATTGAACGAATTTTTTTTCAACGAAAAATGTCTTAGGCGAAAATATCTTGTTTGTAGAAATGACTTTCTCAGTTTTCTATTTATGATATTCTGTCATTCTTTTTGTTTTAAAAAAAGAAGAAAAAGAAAATTTCAAACACTGTCAGTTGCCAATTATTTCATCATTATTAACCTTGATTCTGACAACTTTTTACAAACAAGCAAGCAAGCAAAAAAAAAACAAACACATGATATTTCATCGTTTTATAATCATCATTATTGTTTTTATAATCATCATGACAAAACCAGAATTGTTATCCAGAAAACAATTCAAAATTCAAAATTCCGTGATACAAATCAGGAAAAAAATCCGACATTGTTTAAGATTTAATCCATTATTATTCTAAAAAATGATTATTATTATTTGAGAATGCGACAAATAATTTACATTCTAATTAGCATTTTTGTTTGTTTTTTTTTCTTGGCACCAATAAAAAAAACTAAATAGAAATTCTTGATTGAACAGAATCTTAAAGATATGCGCTTGACAATACCCGATTTTTACATTATAAACAGAATCACACATTATGAATGGTGGTGGTGGTACTTGTGGGGTTAGCTTTAACTAAGGAAAAACCATGGTTATGTTTAGCCATTTAGAAAAAAAAGGAAAACGAAAAATTATCATTATTATTGAATTGTCTATTTAAGCGCGCGCGCGCCTATTTAATCTTGATCAATTCTTGAGAATTTAACCAAAGTTTCTCTACTACAATTCTTGACTGAATTTTTTTTTTTTTTTTTTTTTTTTGGTTGCAAAAGCATATATATAGCATCATCGTTTGCTTAGTTTGCATCTTTTTCTATTTTTTTTTTGCATTGGCTCGGTCAAATAAAAGTAATAACAATAAAAAAATATAGAATATTCTCTCTCTATGTGTGTTTAACAACATCTGATGATAATGATGGTGGAATCGAATCATTTTTGTTGTTGTTGAATTTTTTTTCTTCCATCTTAAAAAATGATGAATGATAATTAAGAGAGGCCTGGAAAATCAGAATTTCATTCATTGTTTTTTTTTTTAAATAAAAGATTTAGGAATAGGAAATACAAATTTATAAAAAAAACCAAAAAATTACAATGTTTAACAACAACAATAATAATATTATTAATAAATGGCCTTGTTGTTTTTTCATAATAATCATTTTAATTATAATAAAGCCATCCATAAGATATTGTTTACCATCAACAATACAAGTTGGTATGTTTTGTTTTGTTTTGTTTTTTGTTTTGAATAATGGTAGTTATTATAATGATAATGATTTTTTTTTTGATAATTCTTTTGTTTTTATTTACAAAATGATAAATAAGGCGGTCTATTTACACCGGAACAACGTGAAGAAGAATTTATATTTCGTTTGGCTGTAAATAATATTAATGATGATCAAACAATATTATCACGAACAAAATTAGTTGCACAGGTAAAATCTATTGATTATTTTGATAGTTTTCATGCAAATAAAAAAGGTAAATATTTTTTGTAATTTGATTTTATCTGGGCATTTAATTTTGGTTTTTTTTAATTAAATAATTTTTCTTGTTAATAATTTTAGTATGCGATTTACTTGAAAAAGGTGTTGTTGCATTATTTGGACCACTTGGTTATTCACCAAGTTCAGCTCATACACAATCAATTTGTGATGCATTAGAAATACCACATATTGAAACACGTTGGGATTTTAAATTACATCGTGATGATTTATCAATAAATCTTTATCCACAACCATCCGTATTATCATCAGCATATGTTGATCTGGTTAAAGCATGGAATTGGGATATATTTGCTATTGTTTATGAAAATAATGAAGGAATCATACGGCTGCAGAATTTTTTTAAAGATGCACAAAAATGTAATTGGAAAATTAAACTTTATCAATTTGAAACGGATAAACCATATAGAGATACATTTTGGGAAGTAAATAAAGCTAAAGTTAAAAATATTATTCTTGATGTTAAACGTGAAAATCTTTTGCAAGTACTTCGTCATGTAAGTTTATTTTTCGGGAATTTATTTCTGAATTTTTGTTTTAATTAATAATTTTTTAATAGGCACAACAAGTTGGAATGATGACTGAATCACATAGCTATCTAATTACATCACTTGTAAGTTTTTTGTCAATGTTTATCAATGTTTGTCAATCTCTTTAATTTTCAATTTTTAAAAAAAAAGGATCTACATACAATGAATTTAGAAGATTTTAAATTTGGTCGAACGAAAATAACATCTCTAAGTATTGTTGATGATTCAAGTCCAGAATTAATAAATATAATGCAAAATTGGACTGAATTAACTAAAAATATGCATATGCATAATATGGATAAACCAAATAGTATTTTGGTATGTGTTTTGAATTGAAAAAAAAATTGATTATTTAAATTTGTTTTAATTTATAATTTTTATGTTTTTAATTATAGACTGAATCGGCATTAATTTATGATGGAATACGTTTATTATCAACTGCATTACAAGATTTAGATCAAAGTCAATCGGTTGATGGTATACAACCAATATCATGTTATAGTGGTACACCATGGTTATATGGTAGTTCATTAATTAATTATATGCGTCCAGTTGCATTTCGTGGTATTACCGGTCTAGTTGATTTTGATCAATTAGGTTATCGTACTAGTTTTTCATTGGATGTAATGACAATAACTATTGATGGTTTTATGAAAATCGGTGAATGGAAACAAACATCATCACCAAATGATACAAGCCTTACAACATATGAACCATGGAGTGATCATTATTCAGCAATTTCAATGCAAAATATATCATTAATTGTAACAACAATTATTAGTGAACCATATACAATGCTCAAAGAATCAGCAGTTGAACGTAGTGGTAATGAACAATTTGAAGGTTTTGCTGTTGATCTTATTGAAGAATTATCACGTTTAATGGGTTTTAAATATCGTTTTAAATTAGTATCGGATGGTGCATATGGTATTAAAGATGAAAAAGGTGAATGGAATGGTATGATTGGTGAATTAATACGTAATGAATCTGATATTGCTATTGTTGATTTAACAATTACTTCGAAACGTGAGGAAGCTGTTGATTTTACACAGGTAACAAAATTTATTACAAACAGAAAGGCAAAGGTTTATTAATATTTTTTTTTTTTTAAATATAATCCCTTAGCCATTTATGAATACTGGTATCAGTATTTTGTTTAAAAAACCTACAACCAAAGTGACAACATTATTTTCATTTTTATCACCATTTCAAAATATTGTTTGGATTTATGTACTAGCTGCTTATATTAGTGTTAGTACAATTTTGTTTGTTATTGGCCGATTAACACCATATGAATGGGATGATCCACATCCATGTCGTCAAGAGGATAATGTTTTGGAAAATAATTTCAGTTTGATTAATAGTTTTTCATTTACAATCGGTACAATGATGCAACAAGGATCAGCAGTTGCTCCAAAGTAATTATTATCATTATTATCACGATTTTGACCATTTAATTCATTTCAAATGTCAATTTTCTTTCACATATGTAGAGCAATGTCAACCAGAACAATAGCAGCAATATGGTATTTTTTTACATTAATCATGATATCATCATATACGGCTAATTTGGCTGCCTTTTTAACTGTTGAAAAAGTTGTTTATCCAATTGAAAATGCTGAAGGTTTAGCTGGTCAAACACAAATTGAATATGGTTGTTTAAAAAGTGGTTCAACAAAAGCATTTTTCAGTGAATCAAATATACCGGTTTATAAACGAATGTGGCAATTTATGCAAAGTAGACCACATGTATTTACAAAATCAAATGCTGAAGGTATTGCACGTGTTAAAAAAAGTAATGGAAATTATGCTTATCTAATGGAATCAGCATCAATTGAATATGTTATTGAACGTGATTGTAATTTAACACAAATTGGTGGTCTATTAGATAATAAAGGTTATGGTATTGCAACACGTAAAGATTCACCATATCGTAATCCATTATCACATGCTATATTGAAACTTCATGAAAATGGTGTCTTATTACAGCTAAAAGAAAGATGGTGGAAACAGAAAAAAGGTGGTGGACAATGTACGGAAGAGACAAAAAAATCATCATCAGTTAATAATCTAAGTATTGATCATGTTGGTGGTGTTTTTGTTGTATTATTAGGTGGTTTATCATTTTCATTTTTGGTTGCTATATTTGAATTTGTATGGAAAGCAAGGAAAGATTCACATGTAAGTCATTATATAAAGTTTTTTTTTGTTCGTTTTTTTAAAAAATATCATTTTCTTCCTCTTTCACTCATTCAATCATCATTATCATCATCGCCAAAAAGGAATCAATATTTGAAGAAATGATTCGAGATCTTAAATTTGCATTCGCATGTCAAAGTAAAACAAAAAATGTAAAGAAAAAACTGAATGAAGAAATCTATCCGGATAGATATGATTATAGTCCACCTAATTATGGTCCAGATTTTGCACCAGTCTATTGACAAACAAGCACACACACAAACAAAAATGAATACCAAAAAACATCGGGGAAAATTGTTTATATTTTCTTTTATCAATCAAAGAAAAAAGAAAATGTTTGATATATCCAGTTACCATGATGATCAAATTTAACCAACGAAACGAACTACTTATCATTTGGATTCCATCATATTTGTAGAAAAAAGAAAAGAAAACCATCATCATCAAACGACCAAAAAACAAAACAAGTGACTTATAAACGCGTTTTTGTAAACCAAATACAAACACTCTGGAAAACAACAACAACGATAAAAAACATCAAATTTTCTTGCTCAAAACGATCACAACAAATTTTTTTTTCTCTCTTGTTTCAACATAATAACCACATATTTAATAATTTTTTTTCACATTCCATTTTTTTTTTTTTGGTTCGATTGTTGATTGATTGAACCCGAAAAAATACCAAATCAAAAAAAGACTAAACCAACAAAGTGTTAATATTCAAAGCAATCCAGGAGACACATTCCATCGATCAAATTCATCAAATAATAATCGTCCATGAAATAATTTCTTCTGTTCGGAATTCAGCTTCTTCAACTTCAAAATTAACCAACAAAACAAAACAAAAAAAGAATAATTTCAAAAATGTACGTTATGTTTGAACAAAACATCAGTGAACAAAAAAAAAAATATTCATTCTTTTGATTTTTTATTTATTCGATTTTATTTAACCTGTTATATATATAACCGAAAACAAAACAAAACAAACAAATCACGGACAACCCAATATATATAAAAATTTGAATAATGTTAATGATAATATAATCTTCTTTTTTTGTCTTTTGTTTCTTAATTGTAATTAATCATTAAAATCATATAATTATTATCATCAAAAAAAAAAATAAGAAGAAGTTGGTGTATCCTCGATAACTGTTCATTGAACCATTTCAAAGCAAATCAATTGCTTTGTTTGATAACAGTTAATTTGTGTGTCAATAAACTCCCATTTTGTTTTATTGGTTGGATATGATTGATTTGAGTTGAATCCAAAACAAAAAAAAAACTAAAGAAAAAAGAGGGATAGAAAGAACGAAAAAAAAATGGATCAAAATTTGATTGAAATGAATCAAAAAATTCAAGTAAGTTATTCAATTCTCAACATTATTTTCATTAATTTTTTTCATTGTTTTCTTTGTTGAATAATGTTTTAGATTAGCAAAAATGATGATGAAAATTTTGTAAATTTAAATGTAAATTTGGATCAAGTAGCCGAATTAAGTTGGCATCAAATATCGGTATGGGCACGAACGGAACATCGATCATGTTTTCGTCGACGTATATCATCAACACAGATATTAGATTCAGTATCAGGAAATGTTAAACCTGGACAATTGTTGGCAATTATGGGTCCAAGGTAAAAACAAAAAATAACATCAAAAAGATTGATTCTTTCTAAATAAATTATAATCCAAATTATATACAAGTGGTTCGGGTAAAACAACATTATTAAATCGATTAACCGGACGAAATCTTAGTCAATATAATTATGAAGGTATTGTTCTAATAAATGGACAACATGCACAAATTGATACAATTAAATCAATATCTGGCTATGTACAACAAGGTGATTTATTTGTTCCGATGCTTACTGTTAGAGAATATCTTGTATTTATGGTTAGTAATTTATTTGTTTGACATTTTTTTCATTTCAATAATGATTATTATTATTCCAACACCACTACAAAAAAAAATCAGTCATTAGTAAGAATGGATCGTAGAAAATTTTCAGATCATGAACGAAAATGTCGTATCGATGAAATTATTATGGAGGTAATTTGGATTTGAGGGAAAAATTGATTATGACATTTTGTTTTGTTTTTTTCCAGTTAGAATTAACAAATTGTTGCGATTCTCGTATCGGTAATCGTTATGATGATATTATTGGTTCAGGAATTTCCACTGGAGAATGTCGTCGACTTTCATTTGCAGCTGAGGTTAGTGATTGTATTTAAAAAAAAAAAAAAATTGAAAATTCATTTTTTTTTTTTTTTCGAAAAAAAAAATAGATGTTAACCAATCCATCATTGTTATTCTGGGATGAACCTCCCTCAGGATTA